TGCTTTAGGGATGCGTCAGGGTTAGAACGTCGGGGTTGCTTTAAGGGAAGCGTCAGGGTGGGAACGTCGGGGACTTTACGGATGCGTTAGTTTTGAAACATCGAGGTGGCTTTAGAGATGCGTCAGGGTTAGAACGTCTGGGTTGCTTTAGGGGTGCGTCAGAATAAGAACGTAAGGGTTGCTTTAGGGTAGGAAAATCAGGGTTGCCTTAGGGATTCGTCAGGGTTGGAACGTCAAGGTTGCTTTAGAGATACGTCAGGGTAGGAACGTCATGGTTGCTTTACGATGGAATCGTCGGGGTTGCTTTACAGATGCGTCAGGGTTGGAACGACAGGGTTGCTTTAAGGATGTGTCAGTTTTGCGTCAGGGTTAAGTCAGGGAAAGAACATAAAGGTTGCTTTAGGTTAGGAAAATCGGGGTTTTTTTAGGGATGCGTCAGGATTAAAACGTCGGGGTCGCTTTAGGGATGCGTCAAGGTGGGAACGTCGAAGATGCTTTAGGGATGCGTCAGCTTTAGAACGTCGGAGTGGCTTTAGGGATGCGTCAGTGTGGGACGTCGGGGATGCTTTACGGATGCGTCAGTTTTTAAACATCGAGGTTGCTTTAGAGATGCGTCAGGGTTAGAACGTCTAAGTTGCTTTAGGGGTGCGTCAGGGTTAGAACGTCTGTGTTGCTTTAGGAATGCGTCCAGGCTGGAACGTCGGAGTCGCTTTAGGGATGCATCATGGTTAGAACGTCGTGGTTTCTTTAGGGATGCGTCAGGGTGGAAACATCGGGGATGCTTTAGTTGGGAACGTCGAGGTTGCTTTAGGGATGCGTCATGGTTGAAACGTCTGTGTTGCTTTAGGGATGCGACCAGGGTGGGAACATCGGGGATGCTTTAGGGTGGGAATGTCGAGGTTGCTTTATTGATGCGTCAGGGTTAGAACGTCAAGGTTGCTTTAGCGATGCGTCCCTGTTTTAACGTCGGGGTCGCTTTAGGGATGCGTAAAGGTGGGAACGTTAAAGATGCTTTAGGGATGCGTTAGGGTTAGAACGTCTGTGTTGCTTTAGGGATGCGTCCATGTTGGAACGTCGGGGTCGCTATAGGGATGCGTCAAGGAGGGAACGTCGAAGATGCTTTAGGGATGCGTCAGGGTTACAACGTTGGGGTTGCTTTAGGGATGCGTCTGGGTGGGAACGTCGGGGATGCTTTACGGATGCGTCAGTTTTGAAACATCGATGTTGCTGTAGAGATGCGTCAGGGTTAGAACGTCTGGGTTGCTTTAGGGGTGCGTCAGGGTTAGAACGTAAGGGTTGCTTTAAGGTTTGAAAATCTGGGTTGCTTTAGGGATGCGTCAGGGTGGGAACGTCAGGGTTGCTTTAGGGATACGTCAGGGTGGGAACGTCATGGTTGCTTTACGGTGGGATCGTCCAGGTTGCTTTACGGATGCGTCAGGATTGGAACGTCAAGGTTGCTTTAGGGATGCGTCAGGGTCAGAAATCCAGGGTTGCTTTAGGGGTGCGACAGGGTGAAAACGTCAGGGTTTCTTTAGAGTTGGAACGTCGGGGTTGCTTTGGGAATGCGTCAGGCTTGGAACGTCGGGGATGCTTTAGGGATGCGTCAGGGTTGAAACGTCTTAGTTGCTTTAAGGATGCGTCAGGGTTGCGTCAGGGTTGCGTCAGGGTGGGAATGTCAGGGTTGCTTTAGAGATGCGTCAGGGTCGGAAAGACAGGGTTGCTCTAGGGGTGCGACCGGGTAAAAACGTCGGGGTTGCTTTAGGGTTGGAACGTCAGGGTTGCTTTAAGGATGCGTCAGGGTTTCGTCAGGGTTGCGTCAGGGTCCCCCCCGTGGGTAGGGGGTAGTAGAATACTCCCACAGTATTCCCTGCTTTTCGTAAGAGGCGACTAAAAGGGAGGGTGTGAATG